TCCCACTTGTCCTCTTCCTCCTGCTCCAGCCATGTAGGATGTGACTGCTTCCCCTTGGCCTTCCACCATGATTGTAAGTTTCCTGAGGCCTCTCCAGCCATGCTTCCTATACCGCCTATGGAACCATGAGCCAATTGAACCTCCTTGCTTTATGAATTACTCAATCTCAGGTAGTTCTTTATAGCAATGTGAGAATGGACAAATACAATTAATTAAGGTCAAATTGGCAAACATATAATTAATGTTCTGCCTTGCTTGATGCTCTGGAACTAATACAGTGTGCAATCTAGAAGAGACTCCGCTTCCTTTAATCTTCTCCAAAATTAACTAATTCAAGCCCAAATCCTGTAACAAACCCTCCTCACACTGTCTTACTGAGATATCTTGCTGTTTCTCCTGTTGTGAGGTCTCTGTTGTGGCAACAAGTTAATAAACCCAACTTTGTTTGTCCACAGGAGTATTCCTGGTGGTCTTGGTTGGCAGGCTTCAACAGTGCAGTGTGAGAATATGATATAATAGTAAACAGAGATGGGACTTCTAAACTGGAACAAAGAAAGCTGCTTGTTCAAGCTTCACCTTTCTCACCTGTTGAACATTTGCCCACTTGGGCAAATTACTTAGTCTCTGTCAATTTCTTCATGATATTGATCTCCCAAGATAGTTGTCAGAACTAAATAAAATTCTAGGGATGTATTTTTTAACTCACTATGTAAACACAAGGTATAATTATTAATGGCATAAGAAGTATTCAGCAGGGATATTTCTAGGGAAGAGTCCTATAATTTGGAAAGTGATGTATAGTTTGTTTAAAGTGGAGGAATGGATTTGGAGTCAGACCCTCCTTACTTATGTTAGTGCTTTACTTCACAAATGAATGATACAGCCTGAAACACATTATTTAACTTTTGAATTTTGGCTTCTTCAATAATAGGTGGATAATAAAATCTACCACTTTTATGCAAATAGTGAAATTGTCTATTATTGTATCTGTCACATTGTTGCTGCAAGAGAAGGCAAGTTGTTGTAACTTGTTAATCCCTTCTTGGCCTTCTTTAAGGGATATATAGTTTTTAGGTGCAAGATGTCAGAGTTACCCAACAGATTTCGCCCTCCTTCTTTGCCAGAAGACATTAAATTATAGTAAGGGAGTGAAAGAGTGGAAATCAACAATGACAGAGAACTGCAAGGATAATGTCAACTGAAGAAAAGTTAACTGCATTTCTGGAAGTTGCAAAGGAGATGATGGAAAATCACAAAGAAAGAGAAGCCATAGCAGAAACTGTGACAAGAGGGAGCTAAAGGAAGGAGAGAGCCTTCAAACTCCCAGAGAGAACTGAGACTCACAACAGTAAGAATAAATGACAGGATTAAGGCTGAAACAGAGGAAAGGTGGTATGAAATCTAGTTGAAGAACAGGGGGTACTGAGGCCACTGGTGTAGTCACTTGGTCGGCACAAAGGACCTTTACACTTCGGCATTTGAAGACCTCCCTCCTAAAAAAAGGTCAGCCTCTCTCTTACCATAAGCAAATTTTGCCCCTCAATGAATTCTGTTCCCACACACAGAGTCCAGCACAGCTTCTGAGTGAGTCATTCTTAAATCAGGGAGGACAATTAAGAGTTATAGCAGTGATTGTCATAGCATATGATACGCAGCAATGACAGCACAGCAGTGAGCTCCCTTAGCACCCATATCTTACTTTGTTTGTTTGTTTGTTTTTTGAGATGGAGTCTCACTCTGTTGCCAGGCTGGAGTGCAGTGGCGCCATCTCAGCTCACTGCAAACTCCACCTTCCAGGTTCGAGCAATTCTCCTGCCTCAGCTTCCCGAGTAACTGGGATTACAGGTGCCCGCCACCATGTCTGGCTAATTTTTGTATTTTTAGTAGAGACAGGGTTTCACCATACTGGTCAGGATGGTCTTAATCTCTTGACCTAGTGATCCGACCCCCTCAGCCTCTCAAAGTGCTGGGATTACAGGCGTGAGCCACCGTGCCCAGCCCTTACCCTTTCTTTCTTTCCTCCTTTTTTTTTTGAGATGGAGTCTCGCTCTGTCGCCCAGGCTGGAGTGCAGTGGCCTGATCTCGGCTCACTGCAAGCTCCGCCTCCCGGGTTCACGCCATTCTCCTGCCTCAGCCTCCCGAGTAGCTGGGACTACAGGCGCCGCCGCCACGCCCGGCTAGTTTTTTGTATTTTTAGTAGAGACGGGGTTTCGCCATGTTAGCCAGGATGGTCTCGATCTCCTGACCTCATGATCCGCCCGCCTCAACCTCCCAAAGTGCTGGGATTACAGGCGTGAGCCACCGCGCCCGGCTGCCCAGCCCTTACTTTCTAAATACGAGTCTGCATTTAAAAAACTGAGAGCTCCTGGGAGAAATCCCTGATTCTATGATTAGAGCGGAAAAGTTCAAGATGAGCCAGACAGGAATATCTTATTGAGCCAGAAAGAAAGAAAATGATCAATTAGTGATGGGGGACACTTCCAGAGGACATAGAAGCCAGCACGAAGGTATTCCCACTGTCCAAATCCCAGGCACTTTGAAGATCAAAATAAATATTATTGGATTATTATACATTGAGTAAAATAAGAATCCATGAACCCATACTGATGTAAGCATTGGCACATATAAGTAAACAAACAAAAAAATAGTAAGTGGAGAAAAGAGAAAGTTCTTTCTTACAGTAGAATGCCAACTAATAAATGTAAAGGGATTTATTAATGTAAAATTAGAAATTTGTGGATGAATCATAAAATTGACAAGTAAAAACTTGATAAGAAATAAGATATTTACATAGTGTCAAAGTATCAACTCACAAATTAATTATTAGTTACGAAGGGCAAAGAGCAACTTTACAGTAAAGAAACCTGAAAGATGCAACTTTCCCCAAGTGATAAAAGTTACTGTCAACCAAATCTACATGAGCCAACACAACGTGCCTGCTGATACAATGTGCTGAGAAGGATAAAGCATCACTTCTATGACATTTCCACCAAAAGTGCATGATATAAATCTATTCATGAGGAAAGTCAAACCCAAATCAAGATACATTCTGTGAAATGAAATGACTGCCTGCATTCTTCATATTGGTTGAGGTCAAGAAAGGCAGAGAGAAGTTGAGGTACTGGTCCACATTAGAGAAGACTAAAGAGACATACATAATGCTGGATGGGATCCCAAAGTAGGGGGGAGAAAAGTACAAAGGACATTAGTAAGACAAGTGATTAAATTTGAGTATGCACTTTGGGTTAGAGAATAGTATATTATTAATATTAAATATTTAATTTGTATAGTTATATTGTCTTTGTTCTTAAGACAAATGGTATGATACCTGCCACCTATTCTGAATGGCTATCCAGACAGATAGATACATAGATACATACATAGATAGACAGATGATAGATACACACACACTGTACATATACATTATATAGCATATATACTATATGTAATAATACATTCAATGGAAGAAAAATGTAAATCTGAGAATGCAGGACTTTTTTGCACTATTGCAGCAAATTTTTCATAGGTTTGAAGTTTTTTTAAATAAAAATTAATAACAAAATACAAAACAATTAAGGTCTTAAAATAGAAAATAAATGTTAGTCATAAAGATAGAAGCTAAAGTCTCATGATTGGTAGAGATCTCAAATCACCTATCTAGTACTCAGCACCCCTGGAATCTCTCCACCAACAGGTCATCCTACCTATGTATTGGAGCCTTGCCGATGAGCACCTATTTCATCTTTAAATAGCCTTATTCTTTTTCCCAGTTGCACAGCCATATCCATCTTGATATGTAACTCTTACTCCCTCTCATGGTCATGTTTACATACCGAAGCTTCCCTTCTATGCAAGCCTGTAACACTTCGTATGTGTACATGGCTCTTTTCACAGACTGTCTCCATTTTGGGTCCTGGGAAGCAAATGAGAAAGGAATATCTATCTGTCTCTGGATAGTCATTTACAGCACATTGATTGACATAAAATAGGAGACTATTAAAAGCCGTTAAAATATTGAATAAAGTGTATTTAATTCTTAAGGGCAACGATTGTGTTTTAGTTATCTCTAAGATTTGTGTCCCCAAATCTTAAGCCAATGCTGTGCTATACTATGTGATGAGTACCTCTTGAATGAATAAATCTCAAAGATAGTCAGCTTCTCAGATCAAAAGCACCTCTTCTTAGGTGTTTTTACAACTGCAAAACTCTTAACACAGTGGCCACGGTCCAATAATACTTGATGCGTGAATAAATGAACTTTACATTGCACAATACAATATTTTGCATCCATAAAGCAGAGATTTAACAAGTAAAGTCAGTGAACAATTAATCGAGCACCTTCTCTCAGGCAGAGGTGCAATAAATACATGATATGTGAATGAATGAGTTTTAATTCAAACATAAAGTATTTTGCTTCAATAAAGCAAAGATTTTTCAGTAAGCAAGACAGGGAGCATTTTCTAAGTGTAGAACGCATACCATTTCAAGTGCTTTTGATGGCAACCATTATTTCAAAGAACAAACACTTCATTTGTAGTACCAGTTATATGTATAATCAGAGGTGAAGAAAGTGGAGAAAATAAAACCCATCTATCAAAAAGGATAAAAAATAATATGTGATTTTAGTTGTTAGCCTCCCTTTATGATCAAATCTTAGGAACTCTTAAAGATAGAGTTTCATAACTAAGTCTATCTAGTTCCAATTCTTCCAACAACCTAAGGGGTTCACATTTCCCCAGAGCTGAGTTCTATAAACAGTAGGAAAGGAGAAATGGACCAAAATGGAATCTTGTCACTGAGGAAAAGAGAAAAGAAAACATGTTTTAGCATTCAACAGTTAAGAAATATTCCTGTTTTATAATCAGCTTTGAGAAATGCCAACAATTGCAGTATATATGGGTTAAATTTGGGACATTTCCAGGGAGTTTTTAAAATTGAAATATCAATATAAAAATTAAAAATGGTTAGGCATCACCCTATCCTGGCTGTATAGTCTGAAATCAGAATAAAATCTGGTTAAAGTCAACCATTACAGGTTTAAACTGATTGATGAATTCAAGCTCATAAAAGCAAAGTAAAATAAATAACCAGGACAAAAATATTTATGCTGAAGGAAATAGATTTATTAGGAGACTAACAGAAAATCCCCTTCCTACCCACACCCAATTTGTAATACATTAATGTTGATGTAGAAGCTAATAATACATGAGCAGAGCAATCATGAGAGGCAAACTACTTGTTTCACTGCTAAAATTCAAGTATGACCCAAAAAATGCATCTTGCTTCCTTTGTCTGTAGATGAGTATCAGTTCAGCACCTGAGTCCTGGGTGACTTGTCCAGCAGCATCAAAGACAAAGACCACAGCAAGAAGTCAGCAAGAAGATAGAAGATGTATCACCCAAGCACATGGGAATGTAGGAAGACAGTCATTGCTCTTCAGGTTGTTCTGTGCAGAGAATTAATTCAGAGTCCTGTAGTCACTGGAGCCATTGGTCCATCAGTAGGTGCTGTAGCCAAAGCCAGAGCCAGAGCCCCATGGCCTATAGAAGCTACCACCATAGCATCCGCCGAAGTTGTTGATGTTGCTACCACCAAAGCTATAGCCCAGGGAGCTATAGCCATTGCATCCACAGCCATAGTTCAGGGGAGAGCCCAGAGGCACAACACAGTTCAAGGGGGTGGCTCTGAAGGTCCTGTGGAAGTTGGTCCCATAGCTAGGGTACCCTGGGAAGTAGCTTCCACAGCAGAAGTAACGAGTCATGGTGGCAGCAGTTGAGAAGGATTTAGATGATGGATTGTGAAGGGTAAGCTACCCAAGTGTGAATGAAGGTCTCTTCCCACACAGGGCTTTTTATACCTCAAGCTGGTGGGCACAACACTTCTGTCTAAACATCTTCCCACTAATTTGCATAGGTAATATCATTCTTTTCTAATAAAATGCTTATAAGGAATGCACAGACTCATTGCCCACATTTTTGTTGGCTTTTCTCTGTACTATTTTAAAGCCAGTGACCATACTTGACACGCAATCGAATTCTTTTCATCAGAGTCCCATAGTTTAACTACTGTTCTTGATTGCATCATGTGAGACTCTTTAAGTCCTCTGATTATAAACTCTTCCCAACTGACATAGCTAGACTAAAAAAGCTTTGGCAAGAATGCAAACACTTCAAGCCAAGACAAAGCCATATATTGAGGTCTCTTCAACATTATTTTGAAACATCAAACTGAAATTCTATAACCTCTTGAAATTCACCCATGTGCCATTTTAAAACAAGTGTATACCAACTAGTTAATGGGTACATAGTTTCCTTCTGGAGTGAAGAAAATCATTTGGAACTAGACAGAGGTGTTGGTTGCAAAACACTCGGAATGTACTAAGTATCACTGAACTGTTACCTTTAAAATGACTTGGTTTATGTTGTACAAATATTTTACCTCAATAATGTATTTTTATTTTAAAAAGCACGCTACACAAACCTATCCAAACAGGTGTTTTTACAGAGGCTGCAATGGTGCCAAATAATAAGTTGGCTGTGGATAACCTGCAAGTAATTTTCATCTATTTCATTTATGAGCATTCTGTTTGTTAATACGTATTTTATTTTTCATGGAGAACATACCATGTTTGCTTGTAAATCATCTTGAACATTGCCAAACTATCTTTTGTGGAGTTGCCACACTGGAGCTGAGTGGGATGATGCTCAATTTCAGAGTCATGTTATACCACGCTGGCTTCTTACTGACTCCTATAAAACAAGCCTGAATACCATGAACCATTATGAAATACCAGTTATATTTAAGGATGCAACACTTCCTTCTGCTCTTATTTTGCCTTACATAACCAATTCTCATGAAGAAAGTAAACCATGAAGGATCTGAGCTCAGCAAAGCTAAGTCTATTCCATTTCAAAGCTTTAAGATATCATCTTTTTATATGTGAATCAAAGTCAGGATTCTCTGAAAGTAGAAGAAAAAACTTCCCGAATGCCAGTTCCTTTTTTTTATTTCTATCTTAACAGACAATCATAGAGTCCAATAGGCAAAACTAATCATTCCTCTCAGACATCCCTCACTCTTTAAGATTCTATCTCTCTCAGTTTCTCTGACAGAGAGCTGCCTACAGAACGTTCTATAAGTGGATATGATTTCTTTTATTCTACAAATTAATTAAATGTCATAAGTGTGTATAGAGAAAGTTAGAGAAAAATGTTATATTTTCAAATTCAGTTTAACAAAAAGAATAAATTAAAATGGTAAGAGGTTGTGTCCTCAGCGTGCAAATTATATAAACTCTGTATCAGATAATCCAGACAACCCAAAAATACGTTTGTGATTAGAAGAGGGCAGGGGTGACTAAGAATTAAGCGTCACTTGAAAAATTTCACTAGTGCTTCTATCACACGACATTGGAACCTGTAATTTGTATATGCTGCCACCAGGTGGCAGTGGTATTTCAGTTACTCCATATAAACTATAGGACTGGATTTAGGGTTCTCAAATGTAAGCAGGTGGAAGAATCTCCTAAAGAATTTGCTTGAAATTCAGAATTCCAGGAACTCTCCTCTCCCACCACCACCACCTGAGATTCTGGAAATCTATATTTGTAATGGGTATCTCAGATAATTCTGATGAATAAATCATCCTAATAAATTCCAGGGCCACTTTGCCATGAGAATTCAAAGAAACTTTTGCTGGGCGGTGTGAAATTGCCCAGAGATGCCTATCTCTCACTGGCAGGAGTGTTCGGTTTCAGTCGCAGGTGACTTATTTCCTTTAGTTCTGGATGATAGAGGTAATTAAAGAAAAAGCTTTAGTTTGTCTTCTTCCATTTCTTGATGCTCTCTGCTTCTTGTCTCAGGACACACCTGATTAGAAAGGGAAGGTAACATCAATGCGTTCAAGCGTCTCCTCAGAGGTAAAATCCACCTGTGTGAGTGCTGGTTTTATAACCCATAATCAAAAGAAAAACTTATATTTTCTGCTTAGCTTGTTTTTACTTTCCTATCTCTTACTAGACATTCCCAGAGAAAATTATCAGTCAAGTACTTGATTGCTATTCAATGATTTTATTTTAAATATTGATAATAACAAAAAACATTCATTGAGGACTTACTCTGTGCTAGGCTCTGTTCTAAAGAATTTGCATATACTACTTAATTATATATTTCACCTCTATATATACAGTAAGAAGGCTTACTATGCACTATTCCAAGCATTTGACAAGTGTTAATTCATTTAATTTTTATAATGATCTTATGATGTGGGTATTATGATTCTTTACAAGAAAACTGAGTCCAGAGGGTTTAAGAGAATTACTGAAGGTCACATGGTTAATAGTCACCAGAATCAAGCTCCAAACCCATGCCATCTACCTCCAAGCCATGCTCTTAACTACTTTACTATCCTGCTTTTGATATGTCATTAAGGCTTTAAAGGGCTATAGCTTCTAAATGCCTCAAATCTATAATTCATTGCATTTTTTTTTAAGAACATATAGTCTATCTTTTGCTGCTAAAAACTAGAAAACAAAAAAAAAAAGGCTAGTTTTTGCTGCTGTAACAGACAGACATCCAAAATTTCCATGTTCAGAAATGTATTGCCTGCTCACACTATGAATTCCTCTCACATTGGTGAGTTTCTTGGATACACATCATTCTCATTCAAAAGACTTAAACTGACAGTACTTTGATTATCTGAAATATGACAAACAGGGGAAAATGAACATGGTAGCTTTTAAAGGCTCTCCTCAAGTGTTATACACCACTTACACACTCTCCTCATTTCCTAAAGTAAGTTCCACAGCCACATCTAACTTCACAGGTCATGAAGAGCAATGCTACTATGTGCCTGCAGGGAGAAAGCCCACAATGTCGCAGAACAACATTAATGACTTCCACAGAGTTTCTATTTCTTACATGAGCTAAAATAATTTTAACAGATTTTAACACATATTTCAAAAGATTAGATAAGGACAGACATAAAAAGATTTTTAGGACTTTACATATCATAATTTAAAATAGTCCTGATAATTCTAATACTGAACAATTTTAAATATAGAGGTTTTATAGGTTGTTTTTGCAGTTCATGTACTATTAGTCAGCCTTTGGTTGTAGATTAGCATACAGCTTTAATTCCCTTTCTTTGTTTTCTTTTCTCTGTTTCCCCCTAATCAGTATGTACTCTAATTGAGGGAAAAGTTGCCATATTAGTTTTACAAGGAAAATCCCTCAATGCCAGTTGATTTGGTCGGGGGGAGAGATAGTTCTAACACCATATTTTATTTGACTTATTTGAATACATGTATTTTCTTTAAAGAAAACAGAAAACGAATTGACACATAGTATTTACAACGAAAAAAATAAGCAATAAGGAGCCTACTTGACATATTCACTTGGAAATTTGAGAACCTTTATCAGGCACGGATCAGACCCCACTCGTAGCCTCCCAGCCTCTCCCGCCTCTTATGCAGCGGCCCTTATAGGAATCATCTTGGTGTAGGTTCCAACTCACCTCAAGCTGGTACAAAATGATGGAGCTTTGCCTCAGTGCCTCACCAGACATCTGTCATCTCCCACCTGGGGACTTCACCATTAACAGCTAAGAAAGAGATAGTGGAACCTATCTGGGGCCCTATCTTGCAAAATCTGGACGTGTAGGGCAGTTAATGCCCTGTGGAGCAAACCTTCGACCAAAAGCAGTGGAAGTGTGGATATATTCTCCCCTTTTCTCCATGGACAGACTTGCCTGAGACAGTCCTAAGAGGGTTAGACAGCTTCTTGGGGAATAGTCTCATGGAATTCAGCACATAGTTGCTTAGCTATGGTCAACTGGATGAGGCATCTTCATTTGAGCACTCCACCTTCCCTGCTTCACTTCCCTTACCCTTCACTCCTGCTCCTTAAGAAAGCAATAGTACATGAGCCCTTCACCTGAAATTCTGCTTTCTAGAAAACTCAGAACAAAATACCACATCAAACCATTTTTGGAGTAACACCTTTATTGCCTTTATTGAGATGTAATTCACATATGATAAAATTCACCCAAAAATGTACAAAAGGTATACAGTGGGTTTTAGTGCATTTATAGAGTTGTGCAACCATCACCAATAACCAATTTCAGAACACTTTCTTTACCCCAAAAAGAAACCCCATAACCACTAAAAGCCACTCCCAATTTACAACTACTAAATTAAGTTCTCATTCAAAAAACTTAAGCTGACAGTGCTTTCATTATCTGAAATATTACAAACAAAGGAAGATGAATGGGGCAAGTGATGGTAGATTTTTCTTTTCTTTTCTTTTCTTTTTTTTCTTTTTTTTTTTTTGAGACGGAGTCTCGCTCTGTCACCCAGACTGGAGTGCAGTGGCTTGATCTCGCCTCACTACAACCTCTGCCTCCCGGGTTCAAGTGATTCTCCTGCCTCAGCCTCCTGAGTAGCTGGGATTACAAGCACCCGCCACCAAGCCTGGCTAATTTTTTATATTTTTAGTAGATACGAGGTTTCACCATGTTGGCTAGGCTGGTCGCAAACTCCTGACCTCAGGTGATCCACCCGCCTCGGCCTCCCAAAGTGCTGGGATTACAGGTGTGAGCCACCATGCTCAGCCGATGGTAGCTTTTAAAGACTCTCCCCAAATGTTATACACCACTTGGACACTAAATTAAGTTCTGTCTCTGTGGGTTTTTCTATTCTGCACACTTCACATAAATTGAATCATACAGTATGTGGCCTTTTGTATATGATTTCTTTCTCTTAGCCCAATATTTTCAGTATTCATCCATGTTGTCACATGTATCAGTATTCTTTATTGTCAAA